GGTTTTGGAATTGGGACTACAATGGCATTACGCCATGAAAGAGGAAATTCTCCAGACGTCCATATTTGGTCAAATATATCTAAAAGTGTCATCAGACATGGTTCAGGTATGTGTTTCAGTAGCTGGTAATGTATATTATCATCACCCGCTGCAATGTCATGAGCTTGCTCAAGAGCAGTATGTAGCGCATGTAATGAAAACACTTCGTTATAATCTTCACCGTTATTTTGATTCGAAATAAAGTTTTGTCTTTTCCTGTTGTCTCTGATATCTCTGAGACTCGGGGACATCATTTGCCGATGATGACTTTTTTGGCTAGAGTTTTGCCAATTTTATTTGCAATTTTAGACTTGTGAGTAATTAAATTATCACCATATTTAAAAATGGTGAACAGCCGATTTTGAACCTTTGCCTTTAATTCTTTGAACCATGTTCCACACCTTTGTGACATTGGCGTGCGTGAATTAATTTTGGACACTTAATTTCTCCAAGAATGTCGTTTGTTTTCTTTAAAGGTACGACGCACCCTCTGCATTGAGTATTTTAAATTCTATTTAAGTTCTGGACAGTTGGATGATGGCGGAAATAACGCTCTGCCTTTTTCCTCGCTTTTCTGGCTTGTCTACAATCTGTATTAAACCATGGTTTCCGTACATGTGGAGTCGTAGAGGACTTTGGTATACGCTTTCATCAGCTATTTGCTTTCAAACGTCAGAAAAAGTTGGAATGGGATCAGTTATATCACTGAAACATTCAGGTCACAGTTTCGATTTACATATGTTTTGATATAAAGACCTGTTAGCCTTTCGAAAAGTTCCATCTTGTATACGATGGAGAATCAGATGGAGTTATTTCTGAAAGGATAGTTGGGAAGTGGTCACTTCCACAAATGTCATTATGAACAGACCAATCCAAATTCATTCAGGAAGTTAGAATCTGCAAGAGACAAATCCAGAAAAGAATAAGTGCCAGTTGCAGGATGCAGATAGGTGCTTGAACCATCATTAAATATGCACAGGTCATTATTGGAAATAGAATCTTCAATTATTTTGCCTTTAGTATTAGTGTTAGTACTGCCCCAGAGTGGGTTTGTGACTGCTTAGGTCACCCATGATAACACATGGCTTTCCGAGTTGATCATAGAGTGATTGAAGATCAGTCAGCTGGATGTTCGATGAAGGCGGAATATACAGAGAGCATAACGTAAATGCTACACCCAGAGTAAGTCGCACTGCAACAGCTTGGAGATTAGTGTTAAGTGTAACAGGGCGGTGAATAACATCCTGTCGTATAAGGATGGTAGATCCTCCAGTGGCCCTAACACCTGGAGGGGAAAAATAATGATACGTTTCAAACTGACGTAAGTTAAAATTATTTGTCTGTTTCAGATACGTCTCTTGCAGACAGAACGCTGATGGTGTTAAATCCTGTATTTCATTAAAATGTGTCCGGAGTCCTCTACAACTCCACTGCACGATATTGTTAGATAGACCTATCTTTTAGGCGGATTAATTGGGGATCTACCCCGCACCGTTTTCGAGGCCGACAAGCTCAGTGCCGGTGAATGGACGTTTCCGGACACGTCCATGTCCTCAAGTGATCCGTATTTGTTATATAATTTGACTTTATCATCGGAACCTTTTAGGGCTCTGTCACTTTGTTTTTAAAGAATCTTGCTTCGGTTTGCCTTTGATTTTGCCTTTGATTTTGACGATTGGTTGAACGTTACTGGTAGACTGAGACATTTGAGACGCCTGAGAAGATGTATCACGATCATAAGTTGCTTCTTGAGTGGGTTAGCGTGCAAGGAAGTGGTTCCACAGTTTATGTAGGCATACATGATTCCGAAGTATGTGTAGAACGCACGGGTGTGACAATTTCTTGGCTTGTTCGTTTTGACCAGTCAAAAATCTGTTCGGCAGGTTACCGACGATGTGCATACTGGCGATGTATTTACCTGTTGCCTGATTTCAGAGGGTGTCTTAGTGACCGATGCAGATGTATCATTTGGCAATGTAGATGCAACCAGTTTTTGCAATAATAGATTAACTTGGTATCTTGAAACCAATAACCTTATAACAAATATTCAATGTGGTTTCAGGAAAAGCATAGTACCATTGATCATTTGGTACGTTTAGAATCCTTAGTTAAAAATGCTATAGTAAATAAAACACCATGCTGTATCAATTTTCTTTGATCTTGATAAAGCTTTGATATGACCTGGATATGGCATTGTGATGGATTTACATGATGTTTGTTTGAGAGGCGTTTGCCTCTTTTATATCACAGTTTTTAACAGACAGGCAATTTCAAGTCCGAGTGGGTTCAACCCTGTCTGATCATTACAATCAGGATCAGGGTGTCCCTCACGGCAGTATTTTGTTTGTCACACTGTTTAGCATCAAGATCAATATTTTTTCAAAGGTTTTAAATGATTCAATTGATGGGTCATTATTTGTGGATGATTTTAATATTTCTTGTCGTGGTAAAATATCCATACTATTGAATGGCAACTGCATTTATGTTTAAACAAAATAAATAAATGGTGTCTTGAAAACGGCTACTTTGTCTACTCTTTGTAGAAAATACAAACCGCATACAGACCCTGAACTATTTTAAATGGCACCCCTATCAAAGTTGTCAAGGAGGCCAAATTCTTGGGTCTTATTTTCGATTCCCATTTTAACATTCCTGCCACATATTAAATCCCTTAAAGCTAAATGCCTGAAGGCACTCGATTTGTTAACGGTTGTCTCCAATTCAAAGTGTGGGAGGGGATCAAACTACCCTCCTTCACTTATATAGATTATTGGTGCAATCTAAACTTGATTATGGCTCGATCGTATATGGCGGAGCTTGCAAAAGCAACCTTAAACTACTTGATTTTATCCACCACCAAGGACTAAGACTTTGTCTTGGATCATTAAGAACTTCTCCAGTTGATAGTCTCTACCTCGAGGCAGATGAGCCTTCTCTTACCCAACGCCGTATAAAATTATCTTTTCAATATATTACACAAACTATATTCTAACGAATCTAACCCTGCATTTAACTGTGTCTTCAATCGTCTTAATGAGGATATGTATAAAAAAAAGTCTTCTCTTGTTCCGCCTCTTGGACACAGAATTAAACCATTCATTGAGGCTGCCGGAATTGAGCTGGAGAATATATATCCTTCTCGTTTCTTTCTTCTCCTCCTTGGCAATTGGTGAGGCCAGACGTTGACTTAACATTAACCACAATTAAAAAATCCGAAACTAATGATTTACAGTATAAACAAGAGTTTAGTCAATTAAGAAATAAATATAATACATATAAATCCTTATTTACAGATGGATCCAAGGATGGTGGCGCGGTGGCTTGTGCCACTGTCATTGGATCCAGAACAATGTCGTCTCCACTACCAATAATAGCTCTATTTTCACAGCAGAAGCTAACTCTATATTACCAGCTCTTAAATATATAAATAAACACCGTAAATATAAACATTACATCGTGTTTTCTGATTCTCTTTCGTGTCTTCAGACTATTAAAAATATTTCTTGTAAACATCCACTTTTAATAGAAATCATTGAATTGTATAATTAGCTTGCTACTGGCCAATGCGACATCGTCTTTTGTTGGTTGCCCAGCCACGTTGGCATTTCTGGGAATACAATGGCCGATCTTGCTGCTAAAGCAGCACTCAATTAATCTGTGACACCACTTCTTATTCCATACTCTGATTACAAAGCTAGCACTAGAACTTACATCCGTGATCTGATGCAGAAGAAGTGGGACACCCAAGTAGGTATTAACAAATTACATGAAATACAACATTATATTGGTTACACTCACTTGGGTTGTCAGTCCAGATTTGAGGAGGTCATTATGCGACGATGTCGCATTGGCCATACGCGTTATACTCACAAATACCTATTAAAAGGTGAAGATCCTCCGTTTTGTATCCCTTGTGACGAGAGAACCACGGTCAGGCATGTCCTGCTTGACTGTGTTGGATCCTCCATCATAAGGGATAAATATTTCAATGTAAAAACATTGAAGGATCTTTTTACAAATGTTAATTATCATTTAATTATTTGTTTTGTAAAAGAAATTGATTTGTTTGATGAATTCTGATTAATGAATTTTGTAAATAGACATATTTTAAAGATAGGTAATTGAGATTAGTAACTTAGATTGTTAGTCGCTGTACCCTCAAAGGGGTAAAGTACTGTAAAATTATTGTCCTCTTGAGAGGGTACGTAAGTCCTAAAACTTTCCAAGTAAAATGTAAATTTACCATATTTTAAACGTAGTATCTTTGTTCTTTTAACTGCCGGCTACATTCCTACAATTGCCAGCGGCTGAAGGGATGGTGTAAATCCAGCTAGGGTCCATGTAGGTAGCAAAGGCACTGTAAGTCCCCATGGTCCCTAGTATGGTGATCTACCTTCAGTTATTGGCGATCTATAGCCTGTATTGTATATTGTATTGTCTTCTTTAATTGGAATATTTTAACTTTGCACTAGTTTTATGTTTATAACTGTGATTCCCTACTCTTTTTACTGTCCATCGTCGACAGGTTTTAATCTTCAATATGTTTCTACTTTTTATTATATGGCTTGTTTTCGTCACGATATGGCTGCAATATTGCCGATGTGACGTTAAATATTAACTCACTCACTCACTAGTATGGTGATCTACCTTCAGTTGTTGACGATAATCTAGTGGTTTTACTGTCTTTGTTAGCAGGGTTTTATATATTATATGTATGTATTATAAATTTAGAACTAGTTTTAGTCACGATATGGCTGAAATATTGCCAATGTGACTTTAAATCTTAACTCACTCACTCACTCACTAACCAGATTTAAGTGTAAATCTGTCATGTTCTGTATATTGTACTGTCCTTTGTTAACAGGTCTTGATATAGCTGAAGATTAAATATGTTGATATATAGCCTTCATATGCACGATATGAGTGATATGCTGTCGATATGACTTTACATTCTCATTCACTCAATCATGCAATGACTGGGAGGTTTGTAACAGTAACTTTTCTATTGATAAGAGACCCTCCTCCCTCGCTATCGCGGCTGCATTCAATCCCTTATTATTCTTAGCGTTAAAATTAATAATGCTCTGTGACAGCAGATATTTCACAATGTCCTCATCTCCTTCTGCACAGGCCACATGAAGGACGTTGTCACCATCACTATTTACTACTAAAGGATCCGCTCCATTCTCTAGTAGCAATTTAATCACATCGGATGTACTGTATCCTGCTGCTAACAGCAATGGTGTCAACCCGTTAGATCCTCTCGAGTTTATGTCCACAATGTGTAGCTTGAGGACATGCTTCACCATCTCCTCATCACCTCTGATACAGGCAAAATGAAGGACGTTCTTACCATCCCTATTTACTACTGAAGGATCCGCTCCACTCTCTCGTAGCAATTCAAACACATTGCATGTATTGTATTCTGCTGCTAACAGCAGTGGTGTCATCCGGTTAGATCCTCTCGAGTTTATGTCCACAATGTGTAGCTTGAGGACATGCTTCACCATCTCCTCATCACCTCTTAAACAGGCCAAATGAAGGACGTTGTCACCATCCCTATTTACTACTGAAGGATCCGCTCCACTCTCTAGTAGCACGTCAAACACACCACGTGCATTGTATTCTATTGCGAGCAGAAGTGGTGTGGAACCGTCAGTATCTCTACAGTTTATGTCCAGAATGTCTAGCCTGAGGACATGCTTCATTATCTCCTCATCCTTTCCCACACAGGCCAAATGAAGGATGTTGTCACCACTCTCGTCAACTGCTGACAGATCAGCTCCTTTTTTCACAAGAATTTCAAATGCTTCTTTTTGCCCATAATATGCTGCAAGCTGCACTGGTGTCATCCCATCGCTATATTTACTATTTATATCCACAATATTTTGTATCAGGATATAATTTACTATCTTACCATTTCCTCCTCGAATGGCAGAATAAAGGATGTTGTCACCACCCTTGTCAACTACTGACAGATCAGCTCCATTTTTCAAAAGAATATCAAATACTTCCCTTTTCCCAAGAGATGCTGCAAGCATCACTGGAGTCATTGCTTCGTCGTCTTTACTATTTATATCCACGATACTTTGATTCAGGACATACTTCACTGTATCCACGTGTCCCCCAGTGCAGGAAAGATGGAGAATATTTTTACTTTCATGATCGACTGCTGAAATATAAGCACCCTTTTCTATTAATAACACAAGCACATCTCTTTTGCCATGGTATGCTGCTAACAACAATGGTGTCGTCTTCTCTCCGTCGTTGCTGTTAACGTCGACAATGTTTTGTGTCAGGATACCATCCACTATCTTCACATTTCCTCCTTGACAGGCCCAATGAAGGATAGTTCTATCAGCATCATCCCTTGCTAAGGTATTAGCTCGTCTCTCTATCAGAAAATGAAACACAACTTGGTTCCCATAACCTGCTGCCAACATCAAAGGTGTAATGCCATTGTTATCTGTACTGTTTGTGTACAGAACTTTACGCGTGAGGACATGTTTCACTATATCTACATTTCCTCCTTGACAAGATGCATGTAGGATATTTTCACCATCATCATCCTCTTTTGATATATCAGCTCCTTTTTTCATAAGGAAACGAAACACTTCCTTCTTCCCAAACAGTGCAGCTGACATCAACGGCGTTGTCCCGTTCCTCCCCCTACTGTCAATGTCAATGATGTTCTGTGAGTGGATGAACTTCACTATCTCCAAGTTTCCATACAGGCAGAAAGCGTAAGATATTGTTATCCTCATCATCATCTAATAGGGACAAATTTGCACCTTTCTCCACAAGTAGTTCCAGTATTGCTCTGTATCCCGCCACTGCCGCTATCATTGCTGGTGTCCTATCAGATAAGCCTCTTGAATTGATGTTTTCAGGATCTTGACACAATATGTATTTAACTTGTCGCGCAAGGCCCCTGCCTGCAGGCGGCAATAAGAGTAGTGTTGGCAAAGGCCTGGTTATGTGCTTGATGATGTACATCTGAAAGAAAGGATAGAAGCATGACACAATTTTCTGTTTTAGAAATGTTAACATGTTAACCCAAGCATCCCAGAGAGGTGCATATTTTCGGAGTTGTCCTGACAAAAAATATACAAAAACCTTTTTACATTATTTCTGAGCCGCTTGAGAAATTGTAGTATGAAAGGTTGCAGTAGCTGTTTGAGAGTTATTCCACTTGAGTCGTTGTCTGGAGCTTTCGCCTTGTGTGAACAAAACATAAAACAAAGTAGCGGTTGGTTAGAGACCTTCTGTCAAGTGTTAAATTTTGGAAACTATCGACCCTAAATGTCTATGGTTTTGCAAGTAAATAATCTCTTCTGTGTAATTTACTTGAACAATACCTTATGTGTGCCAGAATAATTAACATGCATGATTTTACAACATTTGTTATGCGCACCCCAGTAGGGTTCATAGATTCCCTGGTTTATTTTCACAGTTTCCATCGTTGTTATGAGGATGTGTATTTATTTGTTCATTATAATCTCACATTAATTGACTTTAAGTTGTTATGGGTTACGAAAGCTTGAGGCACTGAATGTGGATTTGACCTCGCAGCTTGAACTTAGGCTATGTAAAGAGTAAACTTAGGAGGTGTGGTCAGAGTTACATTCCGTTTTTGCTTCCAGTCGGATTGTGGAAGCTGTAATTTTTAGATGGTCGTAGTGTGACATGGTTTTTGTCGGAATTCACTAGAACTGGATATTAGGTATGTTGGTGAGTGAGCTTAAATTTTAAGTCACATCGGCAGTATTTCAGCCATATCGCGTGACTAAAAGAAGTTACAATGAGTAATGGTAAATTATAAAAACTTGTCAGCGAATGACAGTAAAACAATGAGGCTATCACAGATATAAATATAAAACTAGTATGTCAATCTGCAATATTTTAATTACAGAAGACAAAACAATATGAAAACAGGCTACATATTGTCAACAACTGAAGGTAGATACTATGGACCATGGGGACTAACAGTGCCTTTGCTACCTGCATGGGCCCTAGATTTACACCATCTGTTACGACGTAAATTGTAATACAAACGCAAATTGTAATAAACTTGACGTAAATTGTAAAAAAAAATTGACGTAAACTGTAATACGCAAATTGTAATAAAAATTGACGTAAATTGTAATAATTTTCGTTGCTGTAAAATGTAATGAATATTTACGTAAATTGTAATAACAGTTTTAATCACTCGTAAATACGCATTTCATACATCAAATAAGCTTGTCAGGGCGATAACTCAAGAAAGAAATGATGGATTTTGTTCAAATTTGGTACCAAGGTATGTTGGCGAGATTCACCGACACATGTGAAATGGAGTGACCTTGAGATATTTTTCAAGGTCACAGCAAAAGTCTGAGGGTTTTGCCAATATAAAGATTGATAGCGCGATAACCCAAGTAAAAATTGACAAATCTTAGCCGAATAACGAAAATGATATTCGTCCTGATATATACTGAGTCAAAAAAGAAACTTCACAAAACGTAATTTGCAAAATAATAAATAATTTTTCTCTGATGATACATCTATGTATCCGAAATGGGATCCCTATCTTTCGACTCTAGAAAAACGTAAGCAAAACCCACTCAAAACCCATCCATTCGTCGTGCAAATGACGTTAGTGCCAAATCAGGTTTTGTACGTGCAGTCGATCACGTGATCTTCGCATCGAAGTTTTCTTCATATGCACGTGTTTGCATTGGCCTCAAGAACTGAAAAAAACACTTTTAAACCACAGTTCTAACGGTACTTGAAATGCCACGATTGTCAAATGTGCAACGTGAACGTGCCGTTGGCATGTTGCAAGCGGGAAGATCAGTTATTGACGTGGCAAGAGCAATGGGATGCAGCCGTCGTACTGTGTATGACTTGCGAGGTCGTCTACAACAAACTTGCACCACTTCTGATCGCCCAAGGTCGCTCTCCTCACAGACCATTCGAAATCGGTTGGGGGCTGCCAATCTCCATTCTCGACGTCAATATCGTGGGCCAATATTGACGCCGTTTAATCAACGTCAACGTCTGCGGTGGGCCAAACGTCACCTCCGATGAACCCAGAGAGACTTGAATCGAGTTGTCTTTAGCGATGAATCCAGGTTTACCCTCAGATTCACGGACGGCAGGCAGAGAGTCTGGAGACGACGTCGTGAACGGTATGGCCAATGTTGTGTACAGGACGTCGACAGATTCGGGGGCGGAAGTTGCATGGTGTGGGGTGCTTTCTGTTGGAACAACCGTTCCCGACTTCTGGTCATCCGTGGAAACCTCACAGCTGCTGCTTACCGCGACCAGGTGCTCACCCCTGAACTCGTTCCTTTCACGGCGGCTCATGGCCCAGGTCTACAGTCCCAGCATGATAATGCTCGGCCGATTACCGCGATGTTGACACGAAGTTTCCTTCAAAACGCTGGAATCAACGTCATGGACTGGCCATCGAGGTCCCCTGACCTTAATCCAATAGAGCACGTTTGGGATGCACTTGGGAGAAGACTTCGTGGTCTTAGGAACCAACCTTGAAGGAACTTGGCGCTGCCTTGCAAGAGCAATGGCGCAGAATCCCCAACCACGTGTTCACAAGCATCAGGCAGTTGATGAGGAGACGGTGTTTGGCAGTGGTGAATGCGCGGGGCGGCCATACACGATATTGAACTGAGAAATTTCGCATTTTTATTCTTGTGACTTGACATTCTGTATACCCATGTTTTGGAACGGCGGTGTAGCCTAATGGAACTGATTATGGCACTGTCAGTGTATCGAGTACATCACCCAGATCGCAGCAATGAAATAATAATAATTTAACCATCTTACCATCTCTTGTTCTTTTATAGTGCCCTGAAGAAAGAATGTGAAGTTTCTTTTTTGACTCAGTATATAATCGATCTAAAGTGTCCTCTGTGTCATGTCTTTTCGCAAATATCTTTGAGGCCTTTGATATGTATAAATATAAAGTGGGGTGGGTTGGGGTGGGTATGGGTTTCTATGGGTTTCTAACGGGTATATCAAATCAAATCAAATCAAATTCGACATTTGCATAGCGCTACATATCCAGAGTCCTGCTCATGTGCGCTTAGTCGAATGCTCGTTTGAAGAGGATGGTTTTGAGACAAGATCGGAAACTGTTGATATTTTCCGATTTTCTGACATTTTCAGGTAATCAATTCCAGAGTACAGCACCCGGTCTGCTAACTAATCTGTCTCCGTATGTTGTGGTTCGGACAAATGGAATAGCTTAGCTGACTAGCAATAAAATGCATCACAAATTAAACTTCAGGAAACAAAATATGCAAGAAACATGTTTGCATGTTTGAGATTGGTAGAGGTCGGCTAGAATCAAACTTAGATATTAAACTGCACAAAAAGGCAATTTCAAAGCTACAATCGTTTGTTCAAATGACTCCCCCTTCGGTTTACTGAAAGAAGTCGAGAAAGAAATGATGGATTTTGTTCAAATTTGGTACCAAGGTTTATTGACGAGATTAACCGACACCACCTGAATTGAGTGACCTTGAGGTCATTTTAAAGGTCACAGCGAAGGTGTAACAGTTTTGCACATGCCAAGCTTGGTAGCCGCGAACTTAGGAAAGATTTAATAGATTTTGATCCAATTTTATATCAAGGTGTATTGTCGGGAATCCCCCTACACGAATTGAAACAAAATATGCAAAAAACATGTTGTATGTTGGTAAAAGTCAAACTTAGATATTAAACTGCACAAAAAAGCAATTTGAAACTATATATAATCGCTTGTTCAGGTGACTCACCCTTTCATGTTTACTGAAAGGGCTTGTTTTTGGAGACACTTACCCACCCCCTTTCAGTTGACGTCATCATAAGGATATAACTCATCCTAAAGTTTTCACTTATTCATACACGGTGTCAAGGGTTCAAGCTAAATACTGAATGGTCACATAAGTGTCAGCTCTCAATATGTTGTATGTCTGGACACAATGTTTTTGAACATTTAAAAAAATGAGGGTGTCCTAAAAAACAGTCCCCGTCTAAATGTAAATCAAGCAATCCAAATCTTTGAATGTTGATGATGACGGAAAGTCACCCAATACTATGCTGAACATATTTTATATGATATTATCTGAGGGTATACCATTATCCAAGAGATAGCGCAATAGTGCAGTTGTAAAGCGTCTGCCTATCACGCTGAAGGCCCGGTTTCGAGGATGCACCGAGGTTCGGGTCCCGAGATGGGCACATTTGCGTAGTATCCTTGGACAAGATACTTAGATCTACACTGTCTCAGTTCACCAAGCTGTAAAATGGGTACCCGTGAGTATGTGCTGGCAATGTGAGTGTTTAGTTCATTGCGCCTAACAGGCAGCATGGCTGTACAGTCCGAGAGAGTTGAAAAGTATCGGAAACTACGATAGTGTCCTATGATCGGGGAAAGTAATGTACGTAGCGCTGTGAGCAGGCAATGTGCCTGGATGTGTGCGCCATATAAGCGGACTATTACTATTACTAAATACCAAATGGGAGATCGTTTTCCATTTTCTGCAAATTTGCAAGAAACATAATACCCCAATGTTGTGATGACTTATATCTCGTTAACCACATTACCCACATGAAATTTTGGATATGACTTTGCTAATGATTCCTTCAAAATAAAATGGAAGCTTTTTTTCAAACATTGGACATCGAGAATATAGTTGATTTAAACAGTATTTTATTTCCATTAATGTTTACATTTTTCATAGTACACAACATAAGAAAATGGAAATAGGATTAGCAAACAGGC